ACAGTGGTCCAAGGGACTGCTCAGGGAGTTTGTGTGTTCGCTCAGACACATGAAAAATTAGAGGGAACATTGCTCATACTTCAGTCTTTGCAGTGTGCCGAGGCCATTATCAGATAATATTTTAGCGTTCAGCCATATGACTCAATTTCCCATCTGGCAGTGCGGAGAGGAAGTTCGCGGGTGACGTCGAGCCCAGCCAATTGTCTTCTTCCATACGCGGAACCCCGGTTGAAGAGGGAAGTTCAGTTTGTTTTCATCGAGTCACAAATAGCTTTCCTTCTTCTCCGAAGTCATAAAGAATGATTGGATACAGTTGACATCTGCTCCGTGGAGATTTTAGTCTAACGGCTATACGTCTCATTTACAGGCAAGTCGTAATTTGAAACTACTGGAGCAAATTGACGTGTAACTGTAGAGTGGTTTAGTTAATTAGCGAACAGCTGATATACAGCTGAGTTGCGGGCTACGAAGGAATAAAATCAGCGCTGGGCTCATGCAGCAGTATGAAACTGATTGGCATAGGAGTTGTAATTCGAAGTTATTCTGTGTGTTAACACTGAAGTGACAACCTTTCAGCATGTGTACCTAAGTGCAGAGCGGCAGAAATACTGACATCATGTGGTGTGGCGTAGTTACTGCATTAAAGCCGTTGAGCTTCTGTGTTTGGGAACTGACAGGTACAGCTCAATTTGTGGGAGTACCTGCCTTTATTTTGTGTTTTACAATAAATGTAATGATTTTGGTGGTGTAATTATTATTATTAATAGATCACTTTGGGAAGTAGCGATGTGTTGCTGAAATTAAAATTAGATTAATGGATTGTCAGTACCAAACTCTCTTTGGTTTCCACTTAGTTTTCAGCTGCAAAAAAAGCATGGCCTTTTTTTTAGTAATTCTTTGCGAATTACAGATGAATGAAGATGTTTGCTAGCTAATATATTAAGTATGAGAATGCTTTGTTGCAACCCAGCTAATAAGCCTTTTTGCACAGTTGAACATTTTGCAGTTGGTGAGGTGAAAGTAATAGCATATAATTCACATAATTTTCCACTTATTAAGTTACTCCATGGCCCTTGTTGCGTTGTCTACACTGGTTAAAATGAATAAATGCATTACTTTGTTATTCTAAACTCTTTAACAAAACTATTATTGTGACAGCCCTTCTCAGTTATTCCAAGTGTTTTTAAATATGACATACTTGAGCATACAGAAGTAAATTTGCCAGAAGTGATGTTTGACTGATTTGATTATACTGAAATAATGTCAACAATCTCATAATTGGAACAGCAAACGCAGAGTAACCCAAAGTCCACAAGCTTAGTTTAACAAATCTTCAAAGAAAATATTTGACCAGTCACATCTCGTTCCTGCTCCAAAATGTGTTCAGCCAACACCAGAGCTGCTGACGAGTGTGTTTGTGCATGTACATATTTCTTCTGACATGCATTTGGACCAACAACTTTGTGTGACCACAGTTTTTAGCATGTTCCTGTGCACAGGTAGCTGCCTGTGTGATAGAAATTGTGGGTGACATCGTCTGTTACTTTTAGTTATTAAGCACGTAGTTCTTTTTCAATTCTACTTTACTGAAAAATGGAGCCCCTTAGACACAAGTCAACAAGGGGTGTTTGTTCCTAATTTGGTCTGGGGTTTTTTTCCTGCCTGAAAATGAGTATTTATATATTCACATCAGCGAGCCATAGGGGCTTTCCAGCAGAGATGATGGCAAGACATTAAACAAATCGTGTGTAACGACGTGATCATAAAACACAACTCTGTGGTGTCCCACGCAGACCCGTCATTATGGCAAAAAACAACAAATACACACACCGTTCTCAGCAGGCTATTTACAGACATGAAACACATCCTCACACACACACACACACACACACACGTTTTTTTCTCTCTCCGTCTTCATAAAAGGTGAAGAATGTGCTGTTTATTTTTCAGTAGGTTGTCATGAATGTGTGTGTGAGTAGGCCTGATCGCCGAGAGGTTATCATAATCGGATTTGCCTCAATTTATTTTCTGCTTGTTGTAAATTCAGCCTGTTATTGGATTATCCCCCTGTGCCACCTGTGCTACAAAGATTTGGAACACATATTAAAGAAGAGCACAGCAATAACATTGGCAGATTGAAATTATTAACTGATATATTTGGATTAATGTTTTAAATACAGGGTAGCACATTGGTGTGGTGGTTAGCACTGTTGCCTCACAGCAAGAAGGTTCTGGTTTCAAAGGAGTTTCCGTGTTCTTTCCCTGTCTGTGTGGGTTCTCGCCGGGTAATCTGGCTTCCTCCTGCAGTCCAAGAACATGTATTTAGTGGGGGTAACTTAATTGATAAATTGCCCATAGGTGTGAATGTGAGTGTGAATAGTCGTCTGTCTCTGTGACAGACTGATAGCTTGGATACCCAGTAAAAATCCCAGTAGATCAGCAGTTTAGTAAATCTCAGACTAACTCGCCTGGCACCAGAAACCATACCATGTTGAAAGTCACTTAAACCACCTTTTTGATGATCTGTTTCAACAGGTCATGTTAAAAAATCATCCAATCACCCAAGTGACCTTTTCAGAGACTGAAGAAGTCACTTGGTTGTAAACTTCAATATCAGCACATAATGTATATTTAGTACACCTCACTTATGTAACACTACCTCTGGTCTTTCTGTCCACAGGCAAAGAAAAATGTTTTCCATTTTTGTTTACCCTGTCTCACAAAATCACATTGTGTACTGTGCATCTTTGGGATCATATAGGTTTGTCCAGGGTATTTTATTCTTTAAAACATGAAAAACCATGTTTGTTTGGCTATTCAAAGTTTGAAATATTTAATGTAGCTGACTAATGATCACTGGATTAGTATGAAATGAACGAGATGAGCATGCTTATAATCCCTCTGGGTCTGTATGTCCAAAATGCACAGCAATCATTTTAAAACAGTTCAACACTGTTTACAGGTTAAGTGTCTTGGGTGGCCCAGTTCCACAATACAAAACAGAATTTCTTTAAAACATTTAGAGATTCTGCTAATATACTTTAAATCATTGCACAAAGTCAAGATCATAAATGTAAAAATAGTATATAAATGAAAGTACCAATAAAAACGATAAAGAACAAATTATAAGATACTTTCTGTGTAATATTTGGATTTGACCTTTTTTTTGTTTATCTTTCCACTCTTAGCTCCTCAGTAAATTTTCATTGACCAGCAGCCAAATGTCTGAGCAGCAGCCACTGAGCCAGCCCCTGCAAACTGAAGAGTCATTGCTGAATGACCAGGAGATGCAGTTCTGGCTGGACAAAGCAGTGGCATGGGGCCAGGCTGACAGTCCGGACACGCAGAAAGACACCTGCCTACATATGAGCAGACTCAGGGATTTCCTCCAGCAGCTTCTCACACAAGTGAACAGCATGGTAAGCACAAAAAGTGTACAGTGGGGCCCATGTGAACTTTGTCAAGCTGCAGGTATAAGCCTGAGGTGTACGTTTCTGACAAATGTGGATGGTCTTGTTCCTACACCAGACTTCTTAGATGCTTGTTCAGTCTGATTAAATGCTCTGTATATTTTAAGAGGTGTGCTTTATGGGCTCCAAACGCCTTATCTGATGAAATAGAACAGAACAATTAATCAGCTAGGTTGAACAGCCAAGCAGCCATCTGAATAACGAAGCGCTAAGTTAGTTTAAAAATCACGCCCCGTATGCGAGTTCACTCCCTTTTAGAGCCAGGGCATGAACATGAGTCCATCGTTAGGAGCCCGCGAACAGAAGCTGCTCTGTGCTGTGGACAGGCTGTGTATGTCTGGCTGGCAGCACTGCGATGTTGAGTTAGTCAGGTAATAGCCGCACTGGGACCTCCAGTGCTAACCTAATGTATCCCAGTATCAGGTTCAGCAAATTTGGGAAGGGGACAGGATGGCCGCTGTGAGATTTCAATGTTTCTATATGGTCATACTGCCTCGTTCCAGCTTTTTCTCCTCTCACGGGTTCTTGTGACCCGCTTTTCTTGCAAAAGGAGTCCTCTCATGAGTCATAGTGTCCTTTCAGGATCTAATTTGTGATGCTATATACGCCATATGTTTTACCGCAACACTTTGATAATAGTCAGAACCAGTCCCTTGCCTGCCTGTCTTTTTTCTTCCCTGTTGGTTTTGGAGTTAGCCCCATATTTTTATAGATATTTTTCTCTGTCTTTCTTCTTTTCCGTTAACATTATTCTGGGTATGTGTCATGCCGAGGTGTCAGTGTGTGTAGACTGATGGCACGGATTCAAAGAGAGAGAATGGTATAGCTTAATTGGCTTGAAATCCGTTTTACTGGCAGTTGGCTCATAAAAGACCAGCTGAGGATAGCCTGCTTCTTGGCAGCATTTTACATCCCTTGATGACTTAACAACTTTCTTGTGGCTTATGGCCTGAGATGAAAAATACTTTAAGTTATTGTTAATTTCCAGGTTTACACTTGTTTAGAACAGTGGAGGATGTTGCCTTGCATAATGGAATAGTTGCATTTTAGGAGGTATGCATTTTCACTTATAGAGATCTTGGATGAGAAGACCACTGCTGCTGTCATCTCTATCCATCTGGAGCTGCAGCCAGAAGACGGGTTAATTACCTTAACAGCTAGTGTGACTGTATCCATCACTGTGATGTTGCTATTTTGCTTCTACATTTTAGAAAGGATGAATGAGATTAATCAGCTGCTGAGCTGGGATTTGGGTGAATTTTGGAGGGTGCTCAGCTAGCTGCATTCCCCTATTTCTAATCTTTATGCCAAGCTGAATTTTGGCTCTAGCTTCATATATTCATTGTTTTATTTTATCCCTGAACAAGATAATAAGTGATCATATTCACCTCAAATGTCAAGTGTTTAAATATGTGCACCTGCTATCTGTTGTACAAGTCCTCTTTTAAACATGCCTGCTACACTACAGATGGAGTATTACATCACTCCTCAAAGGAGTTGATCAGAAAACCCTGGACCACTAAAGTAAGATGAAGGGAGGATGTTGTTGGGTGTACTTGTAAACACAAGTATGTAATTTATCACAATATAAAATAATAGGTATCATATCTATGATATAGCAGCCACTCAGTGCATTTAGGAATGTAGGCATGGTCAAAGAGACGTGCTGAAGTCCAAACCTAGCAACAGATGTGTGGTGGATATTTTCTTGGCATTGTTATTTTATATATGTTATATATTGTTGCTGACCCTGTCCATCCCTTTATGGCCACAATGTACCCATCCTTTGAAGGGTGCTTTCCAGCCTGATTTTAAAAAAGCTCAAATCATCTCAACCTGGTTTCTTGAACATGATGATTTCATCAGATATTGCACTCAAATAGTCTCTACAGTTACCAGATATCAATTTAATGGAGCACCTTTGGAAACAGGAGCCTTTCATTATGAATGTGTAGCCAAAAAAATCTGCGCTAATAGCTATATGCTATTATGTTCAATCTCTGAAACACCTTGCTGAGTCTCATAAGGGAGTTCTGAATGCATAAACAAGTTCAATCTGGTTCTAGCAAGGTGAACTTAATAAAGTGCCTGGTGAGTGTATATTTATGTGATCAACATAGCAACTTTGGTATTTATTGTCAAGGCTATTGCGACTGTGGATCAATGATGTCAGGGACAAAAGTGTTACCTCACTTCTCTATAAACTTGTCCCATTGGCTGCTTCGCTTATACATAATCAGTCACTTCTGTCTGAGATGTCTGTCCCTAATCAAAACAAGACACATGGATGCAAACCCAATTCACAATTAGGGACATGGTTGACAAGGCCTTGATGCTGATTCTTGCTTTGGTAGTCTTAGATAATTACTTTGTTCGCGATGGCTTATTCTTGTGGGAATTCAGTCAGTGCAGTCACAGAGTATGGTGCTGTTTCTATTGTAAATGAGCATTCCTTTTTAGTTGCACCAGCAGCATGCAAAGGCTCACGTATATGCCCACAGACAACATTTGCCATGGGTTGTTGAGCTGATGGTAAGGCTAAGTGTGTGTGAGAGGCTGAGTTTCACACTGCGTTGCTGGTTTTGTTAGGCATAGTTGGGGTTTTATAGAAACTCTGATTGGCCTGTTATCATCATGCTTCCCGTTAATGTTGATCTCATCCCCTTGAATGAGTCAACTTGGTCGCCTTGACAGTCTGGTGATCCTTTTAAACGCATCAGCCTGATGCTGCCTTATTTTTTTCCTCCCCCCACCTGCTTTGAAACTTCTGCATTTGTTTTTTGATTGATTCTGGTGGAAAGAGCACTATTGATGCATAATGGCTTTGAAACAAAAGTTCATTTTCTCTTTTTTTACTGATTACTGTTCACTGTAAAATAATATGCAGCAGTATTAGTAACTGCTCTTATGTGCTGTTGATAAAAAAACAAACAAAAAAACCCCCAGGGTGGTGTGTTTTTTAAATGTGCAGATTTTTTTTTCTTAAAATACCAAGATAGTTTTTTGTTCCTGTTTGTTTTCTTTTGGGTTGTATATCACCAGCTGCTTTTTCCCCCTCCTCGCAAAGCATTGCTGTTTGTTGGAAGATGTCAAAGTAGCTCCCTATTAACTTAATTCATTGGAGGCTGACACTCGGCTCTCACTTTCAGACATGGCTGTTTTTTTCATGTTGTTTTGTACACTAAGAAATGTAAACTTTCTTATTCTTCTTCTTCTGCTTAATAATCCACAGCATGTCTCTTGTTCTGTCTTCCTCCCCTCAGCCCAACTGGTCGTGCCAGATGGCCGCCCCCTTGAGGCGGCCGTTGTTTTGATTTGGTGCTATAAATACAATTCAATTGAATTATTGATATCGTAATATCACACTTTTTTAGTCATGTAAACATTTGTACACATTCACACCAGTGTGTGAATGTGTGTGTGAATGAGTGAATGACTGAATGTAGTGTAAAGCGCTTTGGGGTCCTTAGGGACTAAGTAAAGCGCTATACAAGTACAGGCCATTTACCATTTACATTTATTTCGGACAGTGTGATATGGCATAACCTTAGTTGTGGCTGTATCTGATGCACACATTGACCCGGCATGTCCCATGTTCAATAGGAGACTTTGCTCTACAAGGTTAGTCAATGACTTTAGAATAAACTGATTTTCGACAGTGGATTTCTTTGAACTCTAAAAATAATTCACCAGAGAAAAAGTTATGTAAACCTGACATGCAACAACCTACCGCAAAGTGAACTTGGGCCGGATTTATATCACAAGACAAAACAAAAAAGCGGGTAATTGTTAATTGGACAATTGGAACAATAATCACTTTGTTCCAATTGTCTTTTTTCCTGTAAAAGCTGGAAACTAAAGTCATACAAAAAACAGAAAGTAGAATTTCTTGAGAGCATCTTGTGTCTACCACCATCTGTACTTCTGTTTGAACCAGTGAGCAAACACTGCATTGTCTATTGCATTTCCACACACATTTTTACTCAGAGTTTTAGATTTGAACAGAACCACAGTAAACCTCTCTAACTGCCTGTTGATCTGTTTTCCAGATTAATTGTTTGTCATTCAGCTTCTCCAATAAACAAATTATTTCAGCCCTACATGGGAGTGAAGTAAGAGCAATTGTCTTTGATTAGGCAACAACACGCTGCTTCAATTACATCTGGCATATGTCAGAATCACTGTGTGGGATTTTTCTGCTGTAAAGACTTGCTGTAGAGTTAAATTAGCCCAGAGGTTAAATGTATGATATAGTCTGTTAATATGGGCTGAATAATAAGAAATTTTTCACATGCACGTAAACATGATTCCTGCTCACATGTGCAGACATGCTTGTAAATTTAAGTCATGCGTCATCTCTTTGATCTGTTTTCTGCATGTCGCAGTGCGGGCAATCATGTTGATGTAGCAAACCCATAAAATAATAAGTTAAAACAACAAAAGGAGCGTGCACCTGTTTATTTATATGTATTTTTCTTTTCCAAATCTAAGCTCAAAGCCTCAGTCTCCAGTTTGAATGAAAATTCTGCCTTTGGTTAGCAAAGGTAAAACTAGAATGAATTAAATTTGTGACAGATATATTTCTTTTTTGCTAAACTATAAGTTAGGTCTGGATATTGTTAAAGAGCCATTTGTAGAAGTTGTAAAACTAGTTCTGGCCTTAAAAGATAAGTACTGGGACAAGCTCTGCTTTATTATTGTTCATATGAGGGTATGGGCAGTGTTTTTTGATGTTCCATTAAATGAAAATGGATATAAATTAAAGTTATAAGAAGTCAAGTGTAAAAGTCATTCCAGTTCAAAAGCAGCATCTGCTGTTGCTCCAAACATCTCTGGATGTTTTAATTGGCTGTGAGGTGAAATATATCACATGGTCTGTTATTCTGAGCTGGATAAACAAGCACACACATGAGTACTTAAACCCTTACAGGTATTGCACCCTTGACCAGAGCCCTGTTTTGCCCTGTTCTGTTTTCTGTATCTATCACTGTTGAGTCTATGGAAGGAGTTGTGACATGGCCAAAACAAAGGAAACAAGGTGATACGTGAGCAGTATACTGTACAGCTGTTGATGTGTCTGTTACTCAGCTCAGTTCTAATTAGGAAGGATTGTGATTATAAGATTCTTCTAATGTTTAATGTTATGACAAAGTGTTGCTAGGTTAAAAGGATAAATGAAACGGGTGACGAGGTGCAAACATCTGTAATACAGTGAAACAATGAAAAGATATTTCCTTTGTTGCCCTTCTTCCATTTGTGTCATATTTCCATCCTATTAGAAACATATTTCTGCATGTACCTTCCCAGAAGTAAGAGAGTATTGAAAATTAAAAACACGTACAGTATAAAGTCTTTTTTTTCTCTCCCTCTTTCTGCCTCTAAGAGCTCAACAACAGAAACCATGAAGAGGCTGCCCTTCTTAGGCCAGCTTTTGGGTCGGCTGTGCTGGAATCCTTATGTCACCGTGTGTGGTGAGTGGAGCTTCTGGACAACTTGCACTCAGTTGCTAGTGGGTTTCACATCCCCAAAACAGACAAAAGTAATAATGATGGTAATCATTCTCGCATGGTGTATAATGCGTTATGTGGTGGTGTATTTTTTTGCAGATACAAGCAGAGGGCTGCTGCTTGGGTGTCTTTGGGGACTGTACTCAGAGCATCCAAGCAATGCTGTGGAGAAAAAAGCCAACCAGTGGATACGGGTACGCACTTCTAAATCTTTATCAATGGCTCATTCCTGTTACTAATAAAAGTTGGTCTGACTTTTGATATATTTTGAAGATGGTCACAGTTTTGTATATGGCTCAGTACTTTTTTCAGTATATCTGTGACTGTTTATGTCATATACGTTTAGTGATTATTAGTGATAATTGCAGCATATTCACTAAGACCTGGTGACCTGATATATTTTATTGTGAGAATGTCAGAAAAAGACACAAAATATATTACACAAAGGGGAAAAAAGATGGTTTCACTTGAATATGCAGTGAAGATGTAATTCGTGTCTGAAGCCAAAATTCTCAAGTTCACTTCACAAGTTGACTTAATATAGAAACTTGTGGCATGTACTATATGTGTTATAGCTCTACTGTGAGTAGATATCTATCACAAAAAAGGAATCCTGGAAAAAATAGAGACGAAAGGAACTATAAAATTTTCTGATATTGTACTAGTGGTTTTTATGCCTTTTATAACATTTAGACATTTTCCTTCCTATTGCCATCATATTAAAACCTGGTCTGTTTGCTATTCATGTTCTAATTCGTTCTGGACCGATTTGACATACAGATTATTTGGCTGTTGCAGATCATTCTTTTAGCAAATACTCATAAAAGAATCTCTCTTTGACTGCCTTCGGGCTGCTGAAGAGATTTTCAGTCTAATATACTTTTAATAGGAGTTTGATGGCCAGCTCTCTCTTTCCTCTCCAATTGGACATGGATGATGAATGTCGTAGATTGGATCTCTGTTTGCCTAAGCTTTTGTGCCCCAAACTGTAAAACATATTTTGAAAGCAAATCAAAATGGACTGTTTTACTGCCTCTTGTCACCAGAGGAGGATCAGCCTTCATATTATAGTTAGCGGATCCTGCTAACTGTGTGTTCTCAGGGCGCACATACAAAGGAGGGAACGGGAACAGAGGGAAGAAAAGATTCTGTGGTGTTCAACTTTGAGAGGGTTCACACAGATGGCTTATGATAAACAATGTGGAACATTCACATTTTTGCCAGATTATCTGTGTGTTAGTATTCCTTGGATTAATTTCTCATCTAATAAAACATCCTGTTAATTGGAACAGTGTCTTGGAAGTAAACTTTAAATTTTGCCAGATGGTCTTTGACCTGCAAGAGGAGAAGCAGAGTGCATGTGTGCATTGTGGTTGTGTACATAGGTGTACGTGAACTATACTAAGATATGAAGATTAATATTACTTTCTCAAATAACAATAAGATTTGTTTATGATTAGATAGGAGAGATGACCTGTCCTGGGTGTAGCTCATCTCTAGCCTGATGATAGCTGGAGTAGGCCCCAGCTCCCCCATGACTTTGAGCCAGTTTAGATAAGGGGTTAATAAAATGGATAGATGGTGAAGATATAACCGCTCAGTTACAGTTACAACAGTTGTATTGGTCTGAAAGTATTTTTGATTAATCAATAAGTCGACAGAATTGGGCTGAAAGCTTTAACTGAATGTATTTCAATTAATCACTGGATCTATTTTTATATGTTTTTTTTTAATCTTCTGTGATGGTGAATTGAATATCTTTTGGTGTTTAATGTTAATTTAACAAAACACGGTGTCATTATGTGCTTACAAACCTGTGCAAATGTCTTGAGCCACCCCTCATTTATCATGTTTTGCTTCCAGTGAGCCAGATCTTCTTGAGACGTAGCTCTCAGGCTTTATGAAGGCTTTTCAAAGTTTCTCTTTGGACATAACCTGCGTATAGTCCAGTCTTTTTACCTGACCATTTTCAGAGCAACATTTTTTGTTTGTTAAGCCACTTATCACTGGCATATGAGTCATAAAAAAGTATGTAACTTAAAGAATGAACTGGTGCCGTCTACACGAACAGCTAGAAAAACCTATTTATTTATTCATTTATTTACTATCACCCTATCACACAGGCATATCTCAGTGTATTGTGCAGTGTAAAAAAAATCAGATTACACTGGAGGAGTGGAGGACAGAAAGTGGCAGGCCTAAAAAACTTTCTGTAGCAGATGAACAGTATCTAAAAAGTCATGTTTTTAAGAAACGTGAAAAAACTCAGCTAGCAAAGACCTGACACAAAGGACCCCAACTGAAGAGTCTTAGTGGATGGGTGGCTGTCAAGAAGCCATTCTTGAGGTAGTTGAAATCATTGTCATTATGTATGAAGGAGGTCAGGAGAGAGGTTCAGTGGTTTACAGCCATCTGTAAAACATGGTGGAGGCTTTTCCTAGTAAAGTAATATAAATTAGGGGTGGCTACAGATTTTTTTCCCATACTGTAAATAAAACCATAAATTAATCTAGAGACAAATTGGTTAGTTTTTCCAGTTTTTCCATTGTATTTTCAAAGTAATGTAATGCTTGTTCATGATGGTTTGGTAGTAGCTGCACTGACAGCCAGTGCTGGGTTCACTGAGGTCATTTCTAGAAAAATGGTTCACATGTATTGTGTACTGTGCAGCACTTGAAAGTACAATAACATAACATAACCACCTCTGTAGCTGCTCCTCATTGTCCTTCTCTTGTCCTCAAAAGCAGCTTCCATTTACCGCAAAAGACAGAAATAACGGGAAGAACAAAAAAACCTTTTCACCGCAACTCGGCCCATCTGGGAGAACAGGGCAGATGTATGGTTTTAGGCCAGAGATGGTCTGTCTCCGTGTCTCTCCCCGTGTCTGTGTTGTGTTGGGCTGACTGTCCTGGAATGCAGAAAGCAGCCTGTTTTCTGTTAGCCCTGTCTGATCTTGCTCCCCAGCATTGTTTTCTTGCTGCCTCTGTAATAAGCTAATAAGAGTTTCTGGTGCTAAGTGGCACCTAATTTTTTTTTTATTTAATTATTTTTTGTGCATGTTTGTGCATGCACATTTGAGTATTTGCAGGAATATGTGTGTTTTGCCTGCCTGCTACTGTGTGTAATGTTAGTAACCATATATTTCTATTTTTTATTATTTAAAAAATGGTAGTACTTAAGAGTACTCAGCCTTTTCTCCCATGTGTCTTTGCCTCACCCCTCCCTGTCTGCCTCTTTTCCCCACATCTGAGTGTTCTGACTGGGTTTGAAGAATTCCTGTTATAGCTGTAGGCTATGTCAGATAGTCATTAACTCAATTGGTCTGTTTCTCGACATCCTGTGCTTGCAGAGAGACCACACAGTGCTGCACTACCATGGCATGAGCTTTGAGGAGATGACAGATAAGCAGAGCATGAGAGTATAATATTAGAGGGACAGAAGATGAACCGTTTGATATCTTAATCTTTGATGCCTATCTTTAGTGACTCAAACAGAGTGAACCACAGCTTGGCCCTGGAGCCACAGTGGCTACTTCACTTTTAAAACATATTTCTTATTATTGGCTAACACTGGCTCCTTTTATGTGTTTTTATTTGAAGATGAAAGTAGCTTTGTCTCCCTTTGACTTTCCTTTATCTGATTCTTTTTGGGTGTCATTGCCCGATTGACTGAGATTCTCTTTTCCATTTCTTCCTTTTATTTATGAGGAAGAGTTTTTCATCGTTTCATCGCTTGTTTATTTTCTACTTGATACACAAACAACATATCTAAGCGTTAAAGACTGTGACTTTTAAATGGCCACCAACAGACACAAGCATTCTCATGTCAGAATTGATAATTATAGAATTAATAGAAATAACTATGAGTAGGGCTTGCAAGAATACTGGGCATGTAAAATGTATATGCACCTGACACTTTATTAGGTACACCCATTCAGCTACTTATTAACAGAAATATCTCATCAGTTAATCACATATCAACTCAATTGCTTTAGGCATGTAGACCACCTGCTGAAGTTCAAATTCAGTGTCAGAATAGGGAAGAAAGGTTGATTTAAAGCCTCTTTTCCATTAGTATTTACTCGGTTTGACCAATTTTCTATTATAATCGAGTACCACCTAATGTATTTTGTCGTTGTCATAGCAGTGCTTCATAGCATGGCAATCGGTGGCATGCAGTGTGACAACGTCACATTTTAGTGCCTGCTCGGATCGCTTGGAACAGCACCCGAGCAGGTAACCTAATGGAAAACCCTGAAAACCTTGCAGATCCATGGTGAGTCAATCTGAGGAGTTACTAATGGAAATGGGGCTCTTGAAGTCTGATGGGCTGGTTTGAGTATTTCAGACACTGCTAATCATCTGGGACTTCCCTGCACAACCATCTGTAGGGTTTAGAGAAAAAAAACTAGGGACAAGTATCTTGTTGATGCCAGAGGTCAGAGGAAAATAACCAGTCTGCTTCAATCCAGTAGGAAGGCAACAGCAACTCACCACTTCTTATAACCAATGTGGTCAGAAGAGCATCTCTAAACGCACAACACATCAAACCTTGAAGCAGATTAGCTACAGCAGCAGAAGACCGCACCGGGTGCCACTCCTTTTAGCTACGAGCAGGAAACACAGGCTGCAGTTCACACTGGCTTATCAAAACTGAACAGTAGAAGATTGGAAAAACATTGCCTGGTCTGATGAGTCTCAATTTTTGTTTAGAAATTCTGCCTTATTGAACATAACTGAGTGTACTGTACTCAAATGGCCTCCATTACATCCCAATCTCAGTCCAATAAAGCACATTTGGGGTGAAGTGGAAGGGTTGGTGGATTTATAATTACAATGAATTACCAAAAGCACTTTGTCATAGTTTTCCCTTGAAGTCAAAAGTTAAAATTTAGAATAAAGGAATATAATTAATGTTATTTTGTCTACTTGCTAACACTTTTGTTTTTCTTTTCCTATTATAGCATAAATCATGACCAATGTGTCAACACTTTTGTTGACACAAAAGCTCAGTCTAAAAAAGAAGCAGTGCATTGAAAAGAATCAAAGAGCTAAAACTATATCATAAAAGTTTCTGAATTTAAAAGGGGTGTTTCTTGTAAAACTTTTATTTTCAATCTGACTTGGCTACATGACACAAATGATTTTCTTTCAAAAATCAATGTCTTAAAATGTCCATATACACAAGGTTTATGGGGTCAAAAGTGACACATTTGGCCCTTTTGGTGGAAAACTTAAATTGCTCTTGCTTTTTTCCTGTAGCTGTCTTTGTGCCAGGTTTGAGGGCAGCTGCTTCTCTCTTCATTATTTTCTATAATGAGCCTTTTTTGCACTCTTATCCTTCATTTCATCTTCTTTTTTTGTCTTTGCTGTTTTGACCATCTGAGGTTATACTTCAGTCTTTCTTTGGTTTTGGGAGAATTCAGTCATGGCTTAGTAATTGTTAACAGACACCCATCAAAAACAACCCAAGCCTTTGCGTTGTGCATTTTTCTACATCCTCTGTTTTAATTTTAGATTTATGGAGGGATAATTTCTATGGCAGCAATGGCAGTCAATGTCCCCAAAGCCAACTTAGTTGCTTATGACTTTTAAACTGCAGCCATCGCAGTGCATTCCAGTGTCCCTCTGATATTTCTTCTAACCAGCCTCCCTTCCCTCTCATTCCCCAGCCTCACTGTGCCTCCTTACCAAGGGTGGGATAAGATTGATCGGTTTTTTTTATGCACTCAATGTGCAGAGTTTGAGGGCTCTCAGATGGTAGTTATTGGGTTGTTTTTTGCAACTATGTGGAGGGTAAGCATCTTAGCGTGTTGTAGGGCTTGGCCAAAGAAACCACACATCCTCACCAACAACGCTGCAGCATCCCTATATTGGTTTCTGTTTTTCTGCTTCACTTGAGTTCTTTTCTTTATGACTTGTGCTTCAAAGTCTCCTTTTCTCCTTATCTATTGTTAAGCGCACACTGTTTGTAGTTTTAGGGGATTGGTTCTTTGTGGTGTAGATGTTTCTCTGTTTTTACTGCAGCTCTAAAAGGAAATGTCTAGTGAAGATGTGAGGCTTTGGCTGTTTCTGCTGGATCTCACTTTCCAGCTTGCAACAGTATGTCAAATCTGTGGTTGAGTTGAGGGGATTTCTAAAGTTTAAATCAATCTCTAATTTCATGTTACGGATCTTTGGGTTTTCAAGCACTTCTGAAGGAATTCTGAAGAATATTTTTGTCAAAAATTCAGCATATCATTCACGAGACCACTGAATGCTGTGTGGCATCACTTTTGGTTTTTAAATGCCAACACTGAAAGTAAAAACAAGGCAATATGTCTCAACGCTTCTTCTGCTGTGACATATTTATTAAATATTTTGAGAAATCGTACATCTTGGCAGTTTTGCTGTTTTATTGAAAGCGGTTTGAGAGTTACTCATGTAGCATTGTGCCTTACACTATGAGCATTGTGTTCCCTCCTGTTGTTCCTTGATTACGACCAGCATTTTTTTGAAGACCAGAATCAGCTGAGTTTATTAGTCTAGTTTATCAGTGTATGATGAGGCCCCTTTTAAAAAATTCTCGTAAAACACCAAGGCCCTCTGTAAGAAGGAATGTTCATCTCTGAAGTTGCTCATATGCTGTCCATACAGTCTCACTTACTGGAATACCTTTTCTCCACTCATGTGTTTCAAATGATGTGATGCCAGTAGAGTCATCCTATATCCAGTAACTAATTAGCTTTGATGCTATGGATCTTAGGGTTTGGAAAATTGTATCAAAGTCTTGTTATATTGTGATGCACGTACAGTCAAAAGAAAAAAAATCACTGGACTCTGCAGTCCTGTGAAAAACTAAGTACACCCTTTGATTCATGAGCTTGCAGGACAAGCTTTACCAGCAAAATCTTGGAGTAATCATTTCTCTGGGACTTTATCAGTCTCTCACATCATTGTGGAAGAATTTTGACCCACTCTTCTTTACAGCATTTCTTTAATTCATTGAGGTTTGTGGGCATTTGTGTATGCACAGCTCTCATAAGATCCCGCCATTGCATTTCAATTGGATTGAGGTCTGGGCTTTGACTGGGCCACTGCAAAACCTTGATTCTTTTCTTTTTCAGCCATTCTGTTGTACATTTGTTTCAAGTGTTTTGTCTCATCATCTTGTTCCATCTTGTTCCATTACCCAGTTTGGGCCAAGCTTTAGCTGTTGTACAGCGGCCTGTGATTCTTGAATACTACAGGGGGAATTCATGGTTGACTTGATGCAAGATGCCCAGGTTCTGTGGCTGCAAAACAAGCCCAGATCACCACCTGTCCATCACTGTATTTCACAGTTAATATAACAGATTTAGGCTGAAATGTGATGTTTTTTGTTAACATCTTTATTTTTTGTCTCATATACAAAGGACATTGTTCCAGATTGCTTGTGGTTTGTTCAGATGAAATTTTGCAAACCTAAATGGCGCCGTCTTTTTAGAGACATAAGGCTTTCTTCTGGTAACAGTTCTAAACCAGCCATGCTTGTTCAGGCTTTTTGTGATTGTCCTGTCATAAGCTTTAACATTTACATTCTGACTAAGGCTAGTAGAGCCTGAGCTTGAGCTCTTACACTTTTGGGAATTTTCCAGAGTATTGAGCAGTGGATTGGCAAGGATGTCCGTTCCCGAGAAGATTCTGTAAACACGCATCTGAATGGTGCAGACCACCAAACCAAACTTTTATTAGCAGCACCTGATTGCTACTTGCGCTCTTAATTCCTATAGAAGCCATAAGGGTGTTTCTTTTCCACATGGCTGTATGCATACAGTACGTATATTTTTCCTCACATTGTGTTTTCTGGCCTTCCACAGAAAGTATTGTGTCAGCTTTCCACAGAAGAAGATGACACTGCAGCACAAGCGTTAATGAAGTGTACGGGTGTACCAGCTAAAGAGTACCACCTTAAAGTCCTGAGAAAGGTATTATTGCTTTGTTTCTGTTGGTATCATTCATTACATACAAAGATATTGAATTTAACATGCTTTATATGTAAACTGTGCTTTGACCGGCTTTTCAGAAGGTGGCGCTGCTGCAGGAAAACGTTGGACAAAGCTGCACATTATTTAACAGTCAGAGGTAAATGTGAAAAATAAATAAATAAATAAAATATGTAGACCAGCTGGATAAGTGCCATTCATATTTCATCAGTGGGTTGTTTTGTTTCTTAACAAAAATGTTGTAAAATGGTGAAAAAATTGATCATCATAGTTTCAAGATGGTTTTATATAAACTATCTTTAATAAAGGCTAATAAAAGTATTTATTAGCATTTATATACAGCAGAGAAAATAATGAATCCTCACAGTTTAGAGCCAGGGATGGTGATGTAATCAGTCATTTAACATCATATTAGCTAACTCTTTGGCTGACTGCTGCCACTCTAGAGGACACTAATAGATAGCTTTTGTCAAAGTTGTTATTATTAGCTTGTAGAATGGTTAGTATAGTTATGTGTGCACTTAAAATCACATTTGAATCCAACACACTGTGAATTTTTAAATAATAGGATGTGTGGAAAGGAGGACTGAAAATAAAACTTGAGCCTGGATGGATTTCTGTCTTTTCTATGATAATAGCAGAGTTGTTTATGTTTAACTTGTGGTAAAGTACTGTGTTTCATTGTTCTGGTAACAGTGACAATAAAGATCTGTCTTATCTTCCATGTAGGTGTTCATGTGACAGGATTGTGGATATATCAGAGGCATGCATCCCCATTGTCACTTGTCCTGAGGCATCTTCTCTCATTAGCGTATTGCTACAGCGGCCGGTGGCTTGTGTCACAGAAGTTCTCAGTGAAGACTTTCTGAATGCTTTGACCTCTGCTTACTCAAGGTAGTAAAGTATTAAGGGTTTGAAGCTGAATATTTTATGACCCAGTCCATTATCACATTGTATTTACTGTACTATATTGAGCATTTTAATTGTTGTATATTATAGAGCATTACATAGGCAAACAAAGGATGATTTCTTGGCTCATATAGTTGAGACGTAGAAATGATTTTCTCAAATGTAACCTGGAATTTTATCTGATTGTGATATACATACATCTACAATATACACAATATTCACAGCTGGGAATATACATCCAGTGATGTAAGTTATTCTTCTTTTCCCAGGCAGGGTTTGGCATTGGAGGAGCAGGCCTTGGTATCTCTGTGGTATCACAGCTTCTCCAGCCTGGAAGAAGCAGTCCTCAGTCTGTTGCAGTCTGTTATAACTACAGGGTTAACGCCACAGAAGCTAGAGCAACAAGTAGCACAGTCACTGCTGGTGGGTAAACGTTTGTTTTCTAGTTATTTTCTACCTTAACTCTGCAGTGTACAAAACGTCAACAAAAAATACCCATGATTCTTTATCAAAGCCTGAGTTTGAAACCCAGACAATCAGCTATATTGTAAACTTTGAACATTTGAAAATTAGGAGCTGATTTAAAATACATTTGAAAAAGTTACATCTAAATCGTACCTGACACGATTGTTGACTAGTCTGCTGGGCTATAGATCAAGTCTCATCTTTTCCCCCCCATCATTTACATTTTATAGCAACAATTTGGCAATACTATTGTAGTTCATGACAGTCACAGAAGTGCCAAAAAGTTTTTAAAAAAGTATATGTGCTTTATCTGAAGAGCCGAACTTATGATGAAATACGAGTATCTAAGGATATTGTTGTTTAATGTTGACAGAGTTGGAGCAAATGTGCAGAATGTTGTCCTGTTGTACTGTGAGATTTTCTGCAGTTTTACTGCTGCATGAATTGGCCTCATTTATTCATATTGGTGATATACTGCTGCTGTTAAATTAGCTTGTTATGCACAAACTTTGACTCATCTGCCCTGAATTACAGGGGCTCGCATGAGAAATCTTTGCACACTCCTTATGTGTATATCTGCAGTTTTAGCTGCTTCTAATATAGGCCTTGCTGCAAAATTTTGCTGATTATAATATGCATAATTCTGGGAAACATTCCTTTGCTTTTTTTGGTGACTCTTTATGGACTGTTCTTGCCCGGCTAACACCAGTTGGCTTTGCGCTGCATGGGTCTCACATAATTTGGCAAGCTCTTAACCCCATCTCACATCATTTGGCCTGTGCTACACAGCCTTTACTGTGCCGGGTAAGTACGGAGCTCTCTGTCGCTCGAGTTCTTGGCCACTCCTAAGTTCATATAACTTAAGATCATGTCCAGTCAGAGGTGATTTTGATTTATAGATTGTTATGACTGGTTGATGAAAACGACGTCCTCGTTGCTTCAAAGTGCTCACAAATTAAAAGCAGTGAGTGGTGTTCTTTTTTTAGGAGGAGGGGCAACAGAGGCTGCTTTTTATCCCACATTTAAAACTTGTTTGCCAAATTAGTGAAGCCTCAGTGAGATGTAAGGACAACAATAATAATTAAGTGTGTCACTGAAACAAGACAATTCAAGAAAGCTGTGGAAAAACACTGAAATTAGATACAACAGTGCCAACCCGAATCTGGATGTGTGTCTAAAGCAGACATTTTTTACACATTGTTTGTGCCAAACATCTGTACACAACAATAAAATACTTGTGTGCGCGTTATGAATGGCATCCTATTTACCTAGCCCTTTGATTGCACTCCGAGTGGAAGTTATAAATGTCAGTGAAACTCAAGACGGAAACAAAATTTGACCTGTCATCTTGCTCCAGTTAACTTGGATCAAGTTTGTCAGTTGTGTCACTCTTGTTTTCACAGAGTGATGGTCTACTTGAGCTGTGTATATAACAAGGTAGCAAAGCACACTTTCTCAGTTTTAGATAGGGACATGCTTGGGACTGCATGCACAAAAATGTGCGTGTCTGCTAACTTCTGCGTTAGATTCCTGCTTCTTCCTCTTTAGTTTGCAGGGACTGCTTTGATGGAAAGTTTTATAAACAGTTGAACTAACTTTGTATATAAGGGATGTAATTTTTGCCTGTTTATTTCTCTGCTCTGGATTTACAATGGCATGTTTGTATGTTTGGGAACCCCTGGACAGATTATTCATGTATATGTTAATGTCTGTTTGCTAAAGGGGTTGTACTTTACAAGGTGTGCCTCCACTTTTGGTAGAGCTGTGCGATCTCTGATTTTACACACAAATATATACATTCAGATTCGTGTTTCGTGCATGTTGAGTATACAATGTGTAATATTCTGTCGGGATACAAATAACGTGAGACATAAAAGCACACTGGATTGCGTCTCTCCTCAACTCTTTTGCTCACTTGTTTAGACTACATTCAAAAATGGGAACCATGGAATTACTCTTACATTCCTCATTTCGGCTTGTCCCACCCCCCTGTGATCCAGTTAGAAGCGCAGGCCCAATAACAATAAACACTCACTTCCTGGGTCTGACTGCCAAAAACAGAATGTTTGTTGTGTGCTGTAATTGACCCTCCTTGAAGTGTTAGTGGTAAGGTATGGAGGAAGACTCTAAAAAAGTCCCATCTGTTTTTACTAAGGCGGAAACCATGACAGTTCACATGCATGCATGCATGTTGGCATGCAACCCACATAATATGCAGATGTACACTGTTATACATAAACTCTATGGGATTTCATACCCTTGCAAACAGGCTGGTTAATGGTGTCTTCTGAACTGAGAGGAGAGAAAAGAAACCCACATGTTAAAACTAAGAATAAAATCACTTTGTTACCCGATGTTGTAATTACACCATATAAACACTTGGCGGTGCTGTTTATTTCTGTGAATGTAATTGGTCTCATAATTTGTCGCTTTGTGTGGTTAAAAGTCTGCCTAAACTGGTGGAAATGCAATTTAGCGCCCTATTTATATAATCAAGTTCTAACCTATTAGTGTTTTAATTCAAACAGTGAGCTCACAGTGAACGGTGAGCTACATTTTTTTTTTAAATACTGACACAAGTGGTAGCTCTAAATTGGCTATGTGTAAATTAAATAAGTTAAAAGGCTTACTCCTATCTGCATCCCTTCTGTATCATTCCACTAGCACATTATTTTGCAGGAATAAAGCCATTTCTCCCCCATAGTGAAGTGCTTGTCCTTATATAAGATGGGTGTTGGGTTGGAGGAGGATAATTAGGGACTAGAAAATATGAACAGTGCAGCTGTTAAATTTTTGCGCTGGGGCGTTTAAGAATGTGTTAAATCCAAAACACATGATGAGTGCATTTAAGGAGGAGATGAGAAAGTAATTGTGTGTGGGGGTGTTTGTGTGTATGTGAAGGAAGGGCTGACAGAGTGGTAAACTGAGTGTTTAATGGGGAGAGAGTGAGAACAAGGATAACTGAGGCTTAAAAGCAGAATGTTTCTGGGTGATTCAACAGTGACACCTTCTGGTCAGTATTCTGGACAAACATTCAAAGTGGTTTAATGGGAGCAGGTATTTATTGTCAGTAATTTCTGTATGGATTGGATTGATAGGGTTTTTGTTTTTTTTTTACCATTTGTGAAGTATTAAAAGTTTGTGTGTTTGTGTGTTTCAGCTTAAAGCTTGTGCTCAGCACTGCTCAATATTCTTGGTTGTAAATGACATCTTTAGGTGAGTTCTGGCTGAAATGTGTATGTTTGTGTAGAAAGTCAGTATATATTTCTGGTGCTTACTGAATATTACAGTGATATGCTGTTACTGAACGTGTATTTTGCAGGTCCGTCCTTAAGCAAGCTGAAGGAAATGAGTCTGTTAAGACTCTGGTCCAAACCTTTACCAAGTGTTTCCTGAGGGAACTGGCACTGCTGAAGCCTCAGGTCAGCTACAATAAATGCATACATGTTTGTTTCTTGCAGC